TGTAGTACAGATGTAATTCATTGCTTTCCCAGATGTGCTTTCTTCTGGGCTCAGAATAGTTTAGTCAGAACTCAAAATAGGTAATGGTCATGTGGTGTGATGGCAGTTCACAGCAAGTAACCATTGCAGAAAAAGGTTGACAATGCTAGAAATTCAACACTTTTTATCCCATCAGGGACAAACAGAATGCCAGTGTGACTGAGGCTAGGACAAGATGTAGTACTGTATATGGGGCAAGAACAGAAACAAGACACCCTGCATGATTTTTTTTGCTTTAGGGCACAGTCTTATTTATCCATTGTGACCTAAACTGTTGCCAGCAGCATAATAGCATTTTGTAGACCAATACTAGATGTTAAGCACACTAGATGCAGACCCTATTAAGATGTCATTAATAAGCTAATTAGCAGCGTAGTGACATGTGAATAGCTAAACACGGTAAGACCTCTTTTACCCTGTCTTACGTTTTGAATGAAGAAAATCCACATGCAACAAAAATGCATGAGTAATGGAAAAAAAAGCTTTGACTTTATTAAGACTGCCTTCTAGATGCATCGCGATTTGATTCCCAGTTAGTCCCTTTGTTTAGAAACCCTCCAGTTTTTAGTGTTGTGAAATATGACTTTGAAAGGTTTTTACATTTCATAGAGGCTTCCAGGGTTTCCCAAGCAAGCACTTAGAAACGTGCACAGGATCTGCTGTCGAAAGACTGCGAGCAAAAATGAATGACACGACAAGCATGCAGCTTGTGTCCCAAGGCATGCTTCAGGAGGAGTCTGGGAAGAGCCATCTGCATGTTCATTCAAAACCACCCTTCACAGCCTGCGAAACTGCAGCAGCAAATGGAATCTGATAAGAAACGTGGGAATTGAGATGCCAGCAATGGTAGAAATTTTCTTTTAGGTGGTCAGCAGAGCTTTCACTGCATTCCATCTCCCACAGGCCTCTGCATTTGTTTGCTGGCTTCCCTGGCAGTGATAATTCCTGTGTTACGCAATACAGCGCTGCTCAGATTTCTCCTAAGTGATTTAGTTTACTTCTGTGTCTACAGGCAGAAACACAGCGAAAGGAAATGGCAGGCACAGAACGAGAGGAAGAATTATTTCTCGGAACTCAGGAAAGGAAGCCTTCCGAGAGTGCACTGGAGGGTTACTGAGTGACTGCTTAGAAACTGGGGACAGAGTTGTAAATCTGCAGAAAGAGAGAGCAATGGGTCTCTGCATGTTGTTGCATGTGTAAACAATCGCGTAAACAACCCTTTGTCTCCATTCAGATATTACTTACAGTGGCCTTTCTCCCCTCCAAAATACAATACATGCCAATGGGCTCTGTGCTAGAAATTGGCAGTAGTTCTCAAGATCTAATGTTGGCAAATTTAATTCTCAGTAGGCTGTCCATATATATAGTACAAAATTATGCACAAAAAGAGCTTGCTTACTCTGATCACAATGATGTTGAAGGTTACAAATGAGAAGGGGCCATTCTGCCCATCTAGTCTATGTGGTAGCTAGTAGTTAATTAATCCAAGCACCTCGGTCAGTTTTGTTCAGGAGTGAATGTGTTTTCTCTTCTCTGGATGGTTCCAGAGCAGCAATATTTTTTTAGAGTGTGGTGACCAAAATTGTACATATTATTCTAAATGAGGCCTTACTTATGTACAGGAACAAGTAATAGCTTTATTCCATGCTGAAAAAAAAGAAAGAAAACACAAAACATTTCGGCCGTGGAGCCTTCTTCAGGGGATGCAAAAAGTCAGTTCAGCAAAGGCCTGAAATGAGTTTTCATTTTGAAAAAAAAAGGCCTTTTCACCCGAGAAGACACATACAAAGTGTCTCCCCCACGGTACTCTGAATACAGGCGGTTCTTCAGGAAGTTATACAGTCTGAGTACAGCTGTCGTCACTCTCTGTTATTACCATGACTGGGTGTTGAGAAGAGATCATTGCATATTCATTACAACTAGACACTATACAGCATTACAATGGCTATTTCTCATAAGGATATCCCTGTATTTTCAGTTATCCTCGAAATGCCACATACTCAGACAGGCCAGGTCAAGAATTAACCCAGGTCCTACTGTACATGCATTATACAATTTTTACAGAAAATCTAGTGATTTAAATCCTGTACTTTTAGCTATATGATCTAGCATTTTGTTTGTCTTACTAATTGCTTCCCCACATCGTCTTGAAGATGGATGACTTGTTTACATCAATACCCAAGTTATTTTTCATACGAAGCCTCTTCTGTCTCTATTGTATTTCTAGTTAAGGTTTTGCACTACCTACTTGCACTTGCCTGTACATGTCTACATTAAACATCAACCAGGTGTTTTCTCAGTTGTGAATTGTCTCTAAATCTTATTAAATTTTAGCTGCTGCTTCTGCAGTGTTTGCTTATCCTCCTAATATAGTATCATCTGCAGTTGTGACTAGTTTACTAATTGTTCCAGAATCTAGATCTTAAAGTATATTAAGAATAGCAGTGGTCCTAGTACAGATCCGTGCTCTATTAATTACATTAAAAGCATTACATTAACTTCTTTCAAAGATGTACAGTGTAGATGCAATACATTTCTAAGTAACAATGTCTGTGCTCTACTTTTGAAATTTGTTGCACTTTCATTTTCTAAATTTAAAAAAATGTGCTTAATTGCTTGAAAGCAATTACTTTTTATGACTGTCTATTGATGTCAAAAGAGCTTCTTTAAACAGCGTGTCACTGTCTTGACCTTAACATCCTCAATCTTTTAGCACTGTGCCACATTCAAAGGAAAGACGAGCGATTTCTTTGTGGCGCTCTGAATCCTTCATAGGCTAAGATGGGAAAATCCAGCGTTTGTAGTGGTTTGTGCTAGAAGATTGTGGATCAGCTCTTGGCTTTCTGCTGTTACAGGAAAGACTTTGATCTTCGTTGTAAAGTGGTATTTGAAGAAGGACTCAGAGCCTGGGCATTCACTAAAGTATTTGGAGTGGTCAAAGTCCTGGCTTGTGGTAAATGTGTTTGGATAAGTTCTTGGAGATCAGTTATCATTTTTCTCCCAACGTAAGTCGGCATTGCTCATGCAGTTTATTTTTAGCAGACAAATCTATAATGAGAAAAAAAATGTTCTTTTAATTTGATTTATGTGATAACTATACAAGAACACCCCCATAGAAAGATGTCTTGAACCTACATTATGCTGGAAAGAGTGATGAATAAATCATGGTAAATTATAAAATTTTAATTTTGGTGCTTATCGGAGGTGGTCACACACACCATTTACTGATTGTTTTTTTGGCGGAGCAAAAGAAACCTATAGAAAATAACACCAAAAAACGCATTTGGGCTTCTCTGATCATAAAAGTGATGGAGCACAAAAGCACACTGTTCTGTCTTCTCCTATTTTTAGCCCAGATTATCGATGTGCCAATGTTTCTCTCTCAGATTACACTTGCCGTGGTCGTTCGATCAAACGACCACGGCGGCCGGTCTGTGCCTTTAATTACGAGGCACATTTCAATAAGGACCTACAAAAGTGGCGTCGCTCCTGCAACATGGAGTAACAGATCATGTCATTAACGCAGAGCATCCCCTGACATCCCTTCTGTCAGCCTCTCACCCCCTTTTCTCTCGGATCTGTGTTTCCAGCAATGTGTTCTCTTTCCTCATCGCCTAAATATAACTCATCCATTTGCAAAGACAATAAAGGACTGTAATGTTGACAAATTTAGTTCTCAGCAGACGGGCCATATGTCCTGAGTGCCAATTCAGAGGGTGCCAGGCAGCAGTTCATGCCAAGGCAGGAGCCATGTATCCCCACTGCTTCATCATTGTCCTTAAAGAGGAATGCACAGAAAATCGGAGAACATCTGAAAGATCGGATTGCAACTGCAGGCCTGTCTTCCAGGGTTCGTTAGACAACTGTTACACAATCAGTTGTCTTGTATGTGGTAGATGGTATTTTTAATTTGTTTTCAGGGTTTTGTCCTTTTATGAAAATGCATGATTTTTCCGTAGTAGAGCATTTGATTAAACTTCAATAAATGTAACCAGAAATGAGCTAGAGAGCTGAAGTGAGAGATGAATATGTTTAAATAATGAATGTGGTGTCCATTTCAATAGAAAAACAGATAAAGAAAAATTCGGAAATAACCATAAATACCAGAGTTTGTGATGTGAGGTCTTTTGTAACGCTTCCAGGGCAGGGTTAGATCGGAAGTCTGCGTATCGGTGATTCCATGTGTCCAGTTGATCGTGGGTTTTATCTGATAGTTTTGACTTTGAGATTGGCGGGCAAGATGCTTGTTTTCTTTCAGTTTGGAGAAAATCCTCTATAGTTTGCTTTACTTTGGGAATTTTCATTCTGACTCTAGCTTGCTGCACCTAAGAACACACAACAGATTTGCTGTTTGACTTTACATCCATTCATTCATTAGTACAGGTTATTACTAAACAGCGTTGAAAGCAAATGAAGGAAAATATGGCTTTCTTGTTAAAAGCAAAAGCATGCACATTCATTATTCATACAAATGATATAAAACCTTGTTTTACTCTGTACTCAGAATGAACAAAGAAATCACCGACCTTACCATACATTTGTATTTGAAGGGGTTGTATACAGTAGGCTAAGGCATTTTGAAACGGTTCTTGCACTTATTATTGCATATTATTATAGTGTCAAACTGATTCAGCTGCAGTTTCCAATACCAAGTCTGATCTGGAGTGGCACTCAATAAAGCATGCAGAATTCTGTGAAAAGCAATAATGGAAGCCTGTTAAATATTTTACTCTGTTCATCATTGTGATCTGGCTTTTTTAACTCATCAACCTGTTAGCCAGAACCCCCCCCCACCCCCACCCCCACCCCTGCCTTCTGTATTTTGTATCCTGAACTGACTTTATTCCAGCCTTGGTCAGTTTTTAAGAAGAAGCGCTCGGGCTGTCGTGAATCGGGTGCCCTGTGTGGCAGAGCTCTGCAGTGCTCTAACGTCTGTTTTGCTCTGTCGTCTCCCCTCGCAGGCGGAGCTGACCGGCATTAAATGGCGGCGCTACAGTTTCCGCGGCAACGGGGACTGCGGCCCGGTGATCTCGGCCCCCGCCCAGGACGACCCCATCCTGCGCAGCTTCACGCGCTGCGTCCAGGCCAACCTGCTGTGCGTGTGGCGCCGCGACGTCAAGCCCGAGGCCAAGGAGCTGTGGATCTTCTGGTGGGGGGAGGAGCCCAACCTGGCTGACATCATCCACCACGAGCTTGAAGGTCGGTGCTGTGGGCCTGCTCACACAGGCTCCACATTCTCATCTTTCATGCTGGCTGGGGTTGTGTCCGACTTTCCTTTGACGTTCAGGCCCAGGCCTCGACTGTCTATACTTACAAAGTTCTTCCCCAGTCTTCAAGGGGGCATTGTTCCAAGAGGAATTTGCCCCTGGAAGTCTGAGACACATGGGAGTAACGTACCTGCTTTAGTGGCTACACAGCCATGCTATGTACTAAAGAAGAAATCCATATCTAGTGCTGGTGATGTAGATGTCGCATTTTCATGTCGCATGAGCTGGAGCCTCTGTTTTGTCAGTGATCAGCAATGCCTAGGATCCCCTACGTGGTCGTGCATAATTGGCCGATTGCCACTGAGGGCAGGGCTGGGCTCGGTAGTTCATCAGAGCTCTCTCAGCTCTCGGAGAAACCAGCTTCTCCAGTGACATCCCAGGTGATGTCGTTGAGGAACACACTTGCACCAGTCAGTGTCAACTCTCCTGTAGGCCGCTGTGGAGCTTGCAGTGTATCAAATGATGAATAGCTTAGTGGGGTGGGCAGGTTGGAGGAGGCTGTCTGCATGTCCTCATTCTCCCAGCTCAGTACAGGAAAGATCGCTGTGAGCCACGAAAGGTTGCTTTTCCATAGTGGTTGGGCCTACCCAATTTTGCAGAACGGTGCGCATCACGCTCTATATGATGTCTAGGTCCCAGTTAAAAGATTGCATCTGCTGTTTGTGTCTGCTCTGTGTTTTAGTTGGTATTCCGTCTCACATAAATCTTCTTTAAATTGAAGTGCCTCTCTTGCAGAGACAGAACTTCATACACATCTGACTATTATTCCGGATATATGTGTTGACTCCTTTTGTTTTTGGTAATGGAACTAATTTTATTATTCTGGTGGGAATCTATTTCATTTTACTGTAAGTTGCCCAGGGGTGTTTTACCTTAAAGACTGCTATATTCAGCACAGATAGCACTATATATAGAAACAACCATCTCCATTATTCTATCAAATACACAAGGGTGTGGATTGTCAACCGTGTGGAAAAACGCAATTAGGTTTCACAGTGCCATTGATTGGAGCTCCTATGAAAATGGCTGTTTCTCATGCTTTTTCACACCTTTTAAAGTCCTTCTTTCAAAATGTTAGAAGAGTACCAAGGGAAAAAGGACTTTGCTGTCAATGGCTGTGACTGGCAAGGTTTTATACTGGGTGACGTAAGCCACTGTCTTGCAGTGTGAGCCCTTGTGAATGTCTGGCAATATGGGAAAAAGAGCTGTCATGTTAGAAAGTGTCCTGATCTATTGATGAAGAAGCAGGAGGATAGAAGCAGATCTCTATCTTGAGTTTGCCATCCTGAGCACAGCAGGTGTTGTGGGGTTTCTTATCACAGCAGTGAAGTTTAGCGCACTGTCCTGTGAAGTATCCATCAAAGTGTTAGAACATCTATTTGATTGGAACTTATAGTAATTTCTACCAACTAATTTCTTAAATATCTATTCTTTCATTTTGTATTTCCCGTGGTTTGGACTATACGTTGTTTTTGTTTTTTTGTCCTGCTTAGATTTCTCTGCTTGGTACGCCTGCTGGCTTTTTTGGACAAAAATGCTTGCTGGAATTTTGACGAATCCCCCACCTACTTTAATCTCACAAACAAAAGAGCTGTATCATCACCTTGGGGTTAATAGTCACCTCAAGATGGGCTCTAAACTGAAACGAAAAACAATTTTTTCCTTGAGACTTTTAGGAGCTCCCACCCCTTAAAATCAGGGGAGATCTGCTCTCTTTTGTGTCAGACTCGTGTTACTTGATGGTGGAAGTCAGTGGAGGAAAGGCTGATGGAGTTGATAGGCTTATGAATTTATGACACCCCTCCTCCCACCCCTTCCTAACCAACTTTACCGCACCCTTTACTGTGTTTGGGAAAGTTGGGTGGGATTTGCATATGAATGAGCAGTGGACAGGACAGAGGCCCCTGCTGAAAGTCTTCCCTGATTCCCAGCCTTATCAACCTGCCAGCACATTGCTACAGGAACAGGAGGCCGCACACAGATAGTGAGGGAGACATGGGAGGGAGGGGTGTTTGTGTGTATTTGTATTTGTAGGGGATGTGGGGCTGGTGGTGTATCCTGTCATTCCTGGGCTTGTTATTTGACCAAGTATTTTTTTAAGCAGATTTGTGGCAAGACTGCATGTGCTGGGGACTTTGAAACAGTTAATGATTGGAACATGTTAGCTGGAGCATTTAAGGTCGCAGCGTGGGTTGTAGAAATCTCTGCTGCAGCTTAATCCCCTTCCTCCCTCAATTTCTGGTCTGCGACTTTTAGAAAGAGAGAGTTGTGTGCGAGAAGATTTCTGCACGCTGACAATACCTTCTTATGGAGACGGTGTCACGCAGGAAAGCTTCTGGCTTTTAAGATTACATAGAAGTATCTCTCTGATGCGACAGTAAACGTGTTTGAATAGGAGAAGGTTAATTCACTAAGCTTTTGAGCCTGTCTGTTCTGGTGATGGTGGTTTATTTCTACCCAACGAGAGAAGTTAAGAGTGTCTGAACAAGTTGCATTCAGACACAAGAATCTTACATAGGCCAGAAATTGGAGCAGTAAAATTAGATATTTTTTTTATAACTTTCCTATAGATCATAACCTAAACTTTGAAGAATTGCCATGTGTATACCTGTTATTCATTGTACTAGTACTTTAAACAACATTGCTAGCCAGACTTACCTATTCGCAACTTTGCTACTAAAGTGTGTAATGATTATGAGCTCAGGGTGAAAATCTGGAACTGTATAAAAGGCTTTCTTATCACAAGAAATATCCACCTGCTCAAGTAACAGAAATTGCCCCCCAGTGATTGAGTAATGGGTCAGCTGTTGTTTTTCCTCCACACCTCCTGGTAGCAGGATCTGAGACGACGGATTCAGAATGATCGAAGCAGCAGAAAATACACACAAAATGATAGGACCAGCACACAAGAAATCAGATGCTAAACTAATCACCAGGCTTGTTTTATTTGACTCTGCTGTAAGGTCTCTCAAACACTTGTCTCTGCCTGTCATTCTACAAGGTGCCTTTCTGTGAACATGCATTGTGAAGAGGAACTGACACCAGTACAGTATTGCTTCATGTCCGTGTGGGAAATGAAGAGTGGGTGAATATCTTCACATATTGTAACTTTCATAATTGATGCCTCGTATGGAGCAAGGCCAAAGGAAAGTACTGAGGTATAAGATGTTTGAGAGATGGTACTTCCCTTCTTTATGCTTTATGGTCGTACAAGTGGCCTGCTAGATGTCTTGCACTCTCAGACTAGCCATATTCCTGCAGCCCTTCATCTCGGGATGAATGAATAGAGGGTCACCCTTCTGCTGGATTAAGTATTACCCTGGCTGGTGCTGGGATGGGGTGCCTGACCCTTCACAGAACTGCAGGCTGACAGGGGTCTTTATTTTGCTTGCGGGGGGGGGATGTCTCTATTCTCAGACAGAGTCTCCCGAAACCGCCCCAACCAGGGGAAGGGAGGGCTCCCGGACACTAAGACCTCCGCCCACACCCCCATTTCTGCACCCCTTTCTCAGAGAATTCTTAAAGGGACCTCCGTGGAACCCACATGGCTGAGAAAGGGAAGCAAAGGTCAGGAGTTTCAATAGAAAACAGAACAAAGACTCTCTTATATTGTTGGGAATAGTGGCCTATAGTACTGCTTATGCAGTTCTCCTTGCGGGCACTGGTAGTAAGAAAATAAGGTTGGGTGTCTTTGTAAATTAATGTCCTCAGCTAGGTTTTTTTTTTTCTGTTTCTTAATAACACATTAAAAAATAAGAAAAATAAGAGGCTGGTCACCATGACATGAAGCGTGTTGCATTTTCAGTATGGCTAATAAAAACGTTTCCATCAATAGTGCCCAGCGAGGTAAAAGCCTTATTGTAATCTGGGGCCAGAAGACAGTCAAATTCATGTTCTTATTTTTTAACCATGACAGGAATATGTTCAACAAGCTTGCTAATGTGATCTTTGATGGAAAGACACTGTTGTTTTCAGATCTGGACTCTGATTGATATGTATCCAAGGATCATGAACTGGAACCTAATTGACCATGATGGGGAATGCACTGTGCACATTTCCTTTGAAGCAGAGAGAAACGCAGCAATCCTGTGTTTAATTAACTATATGCTACTCCCATTACTTTGCCGTGGCTGGGACGTACAACATTATGTACTGCAGTATCCCCAGATTAGATTCATCCATGATCAGTAATCTTCTAATGATTAATACTACAAAGTGGAGCTTGCATACATCCCCTTAAGGTTACGTTCTTTTCTAGAAAGGTTGGCAATTGTAATCAAAATGAATTGGCTGTGTGGGTAACCATGACCACAACTGACTCTACGCACATTAATTGTGAGGTCTGTGATACGGGGTTTTCAGATCTAACATTATACCCCTGATCCCCTTTCAGCTGTTAACAGATTTCCGTAAGGATTCCCTTACAGAACCATGCAGGGATTTGTAGGGCATGAGGAAAAGTCTTTAATGGAAGTTCTCTAGGATGGTTTGTGTCTCATTTCTTTAATTCTCTGTCTTTCAGTGCAAGAGTTCACTTCTGAAGTGCTGTTTGAGGCCAAGCCATTGTTTCAATGATCTCACTGCCATGCATCAGGGGCTAAATTTAAACCTTGAGATAGTCAATGGCTGAAAGCACAGCATAGAAAAACGCACACACACACACACCTCGCTCTCTTTTCTGTTTTCTTGCCTCCTTCTTGTTTGTGCTTTTTTTCTTCGGCTGATGATAAACTGATGATAAATTAATTTCTGCTTGAACCGTGTGCCCACTGCGTCATCCAGGAGAGAAAGGGTATTATCAGTCGATCAATTCTTATTTATTTATAGAGGGCCTTGTTGTGGTGAGCATCATCTCGGAACATTACAGTGAGTCAAATGGTAACAGGGTGCACTAAGATGTCTGAAGAAGGATTCGTAATAGAAATAAAAAGC